GTATGTACATACATATCGCTGCCTAAAGGTGAAAAGGTATTATTCCACTTTTTTTCTAAATGAAGTTGTTTGGCAGGTAATACGAAACTAAATAGATTTTTCGCCTCTCCTGAAAAAATTCCAAAAAAATTGACTTAGCACCCTTTTACCCTTAGGGGACGATATATATACTGTATTTCCCTTCTTTAAACCATTACGGGGAATGCAAAGTCGTATGTAATTATTTACCGTCATGAGCATATCATGCTAAAGTAATGCCTTGTAGAAGGGAAAGGAGAAGCGATTTTTCATTTTTTTTTGATTCCACATTCATTTCTGAGGTATTTGTATTTTTTGCTGGGACAATCGATACATGTCTGCACAGAAAATTTTTCGTTTTCAGAATTGTATGGAACGTTTTAGGTTGTGATTTATTCCTGCATATTTTGAGAAGAGGAATTTGTACCTACTTAAAATCAAGCCAGACCTTAAGTTAACTTTTTATACATGAGGAACATTACGTAACTTCTCTATTTGCACAATATTTTTATTTTCGACCAATAATTCAAACAATTGAAAACATTTTCATGATAAGCAAATTTGTAAAGGTTAACAAATCTTATTTTATTTTTAAAACGATTTCATATTACATTTGCAGTAATCAAGTTTGCGGTTTTATTTTAAAAGTGCCAGTTTGTCACAAAAGAATTTTCATTAAAAAATTTTTAAAACGTTTCGCTTTAGTTTTGAAAATGAACATTTTCAGCGTAATTTTATCAATTTTCAGTTATATTCCTTAATAAAAAAAAATAAACAATCCTACACTTTTCGTTTTGGTTTTGCGAATATTTCGTTTTAAAATCATATATAAAAATACAGAATTTGTAGATTTGTGTGAAATAAAATTATTTAAAAAAAAATTTGTTTTACAATTTCTTTTGAATATTTACATACGCTTTAGCTGTAGCACTTTCTCAGTGAAATGTGTGCTTGAACATATACATATATATACACGCACACACCCGACACACGACACCCCAGTAAGGGCACCCGTCGCCCACAATGTGTTCCCTTTCAAGTAAATAGGTGTAGTGTAGTGGTGATGTTGCTCACATATCCCATCAATGGCTATTGGTGTTAGTGGTAAGTAAGTTCCGCTATGCGTGGGCTCCTAGCCGCTGCTGCCACCCTTAACGCCCCCACCGCTGTTCGTTTGTAGATACTGGTGCCAATGTTGCTGCCGCAGTTGTATTTGTAGTTATGTTGCCACATTGATGCGCTTTGTTGCTTTGCCATTAGCCTGCCGGCGATGGCTTTTGTCTTTTTCCTATAAAAGGACATGCGTTTTCACAGCTATCAAACATAATTTCGGTGAACGTGGTAAGACGAAGTACGCGAACAGCCAAACACAAGCAAAGTAACCAGTAAGCAGAGTGAGAACTTGTGACTATTTGTGATTGCTCGGCACCGCTTGTCATTACCATTCATTTACACTTTCACTCAGCTAGAAATACAATCACATTCGCTCAGTGCTCTTTGTTGGTGGTCAAATTAGCGACGGTTATTTTTAAATATTCCGATATTTTTTCTGCTTAAAAAAGCAACAACTGTAATTCAAAGTTTCGTTTATTTTTTTTATTTTTTTACTTTTTTAACGCTGTCGGGTAGTTTTGTTATACAACAAAGGATTTTATCAAAATGAAGTCTTTCTACTGTTTGGACTTTATCATTTGTTCGACTGTTGTTGTCGTGGCTTTAGCTGGATTTTCCGAAGCTGGTAAGTGCGCAAAACTGACTTGAGTTTTAAAGGTGGCACAAAAAAGAGTTTAAAAGTTATTTGGTGAAATAAAAACTTCTGAACTGCACAATGAACAATAACGAAAAATAAAAGTAAAAATTTAAATAAAAACAAAGTGTAAAAACTTTACTTTGTAAGTAAGTGAAACAATGCAAAAAACTTTATTGGCAAGTTAAAGAAAGGAATTCTAAATATCTGGAAAATAAAGTGCTTCCAAAAATTCAAGTCCACAATTCGCAGAAATTGGAAAAGCAAAAAAAAAATGCCTTAAAGTTTTTTCCATAAGTAAAAAAAGCAAGATTATTATTATATTTACAGGAACGTTTTTAGTGAGAACCTACGTAAATCACATGTATCCTATGTGTACATAATTTAAACATATAGTTTAAATTTAGGGGATGTGTAGCACAAAAACCATAAACCATAATTTACGAACGAGTGGCCCCGGCGCCTAAAAATGTTTTTATTTTAAAATCTGTTATATATCAAATTAGGCAAGAAATAAACTAAAAAAAAAACCCATGGTCTTGAAAACTTACTAAAAAGATTTTTCGGCATTTCCCAAAAATATATAAAGTCCATTTTCGAAAATAATCCTTTACTGCAACGCTTATAACTTCAACATTACTTAAACTATAGCATGTTATTGATGCATATTCTGCGTAAATCTGTGTTTTGTTAACTTTAGTCCTTAAACTATCACGCCCATTTCTGGGGCTTTTTTTCATTGCCCCAAACGAAAATTTCCCCAATCAAACAAACTTTACATTTTTGCAGAAACACGTTTTTCGACACCTTGCTAAATAGAAAGAGATAATGATTAAAAAAATTAAAAAATAAAATCTTGCGGCCGTTTCTTAATGTCAACGTAAACGTTTTCAGTACA